ATATGTTGTGAAGTTTGCAGTTAATAACATTTGCAAGGATGGCAATGTAACTCATTGATAGAGTATATGCCTGCTATGAAGGACATCCAGAATTTGATTCCCAACACTACAAAAAATTATTTTATTTTTGTTAGTACATATGTACACTAATGTTTTTGTTCCTTTGTGGAGTTGACACAGCTATAGAATACATCCCAATTTTTTTCATATCCTTTCTCCTATCTCTTCTCCAGTCCCTCTGTCTCTTGATCGCTCTGGCTTTGAGAAACATCTGTCTCTCTACTTCCTATTATCTGCCTTTTATTTAGTTCTTTATTTGTATTTGGAACTTCTCATGGAAGAGAAAATATGTGATATTTAAACTCATGCATCTGATGTATTTTACTTAACCATTAGGTCTCATTTGATCCATTTTCCTAAAAATGACTCAAGTTTATCTTTCTTTGTGGAAGAACAATTTTATGTATGGTAAATACCACAAAAGATGAAAATATTTTGTTTGAAGTAATTTCATTTTATCTCTTTTCTCTTAGTCTTGTTGGTATTCATTCAGTTTCATCAGTTGCTCCAAACAATTGTTAAAATTTATGCATTTTATTTTCCTCCTGTTTGCTTTCTAATTCACTGGTTTATCCTTATGTATTTATTATTTCTTACCTTTTCTTTCTACAGAATTAATTTTCTATTCTTCCTCTAGCTCTGCCGGTTAGAAATGTCAGCTTTCTGTTATAATAGATGTGTTTGATACTTTAAATTTCCATGTATAGTGTATTTAAAATGAATCCCTCTTATTTTGTTCTTTTGTGTTTTTTCTTTTTTTAAATTGATGATTGAACTCAGGAACTTGCACTTACTAGGCAGGCACATTTGTCGCTGAACTATGTCCCCAGCCTTTAATTTAAAATACTTTTAATTTCTCTGTTGACATCTGTTTTATCGTACTGGGGATTTTCCAACTATGTTCCTGTTACTGAATTTCAGTTTAATTCTCTTATGGTCAGAATTCATACTTTAAGTGAAGTGCAGTGGTACATTCCTGTAATCTCAGTTTTCTTGGAGGCTGAGGGAGGAGGATCAGAAGTTCAAGGCGAAAATGGGCAATTTACCAATTTAGTGAGACTGTCTTGAATTTTTAAAAGGTTGGGGAGGTAGCTTGGTAAAAAACCCCTAGTTTCAATCAACAGTACTGCAAAAACTAAAAGACAGAATGCATACTTATACAATTTAACTATTAATAATAACAGGGGACGGGGGACTTGCCAAATAGCTCAGCAGACTAAAGTGCCTGCTTAGGCAGACACAGGGACTGGGGTTTGATCCTTTACATGCAGTACTAGCCCCGCCTCCAGGGTGGACCGAGAGGACAACTGAGACTGGGCATGGTGGTGCATGCCTGTAATCCCAGCACTTGGGAGGCTGAAAACAAGAGTATTACTGTGAGTCCAATCTGTATAGTGTGACTTTTATTAAATACATTAAAAAGAATACTAATGGGCTGTATCATAATTTCATGGTTTGTGGTCTGCTTTGGTGAATTTTCACTGTTCAATAAAAAGTCATTTGAATTCTGTAGACAGACATGGTGGCACACATCTGAAATCTCAGCACTCTGGGAAGCTTAAGCAGGAGGATCACATGTTCGGATCTAGTATGGGCAATTTAAGGACTTAGCTAGAACTTGTCTCAAAATATGAAACAGGGCTTCGATTATAGGTCATTGGGAGGGCCGGTGGTATAGCTCAGCAGACTGAGCGCTTGCTTAGGTAAGCGCAGGGCCAGGTGTTAGATCCATGGCTCCGCATGCTGCGCCGGCCCTGCCCATGGGCGCGCAGAGCCAGCAATGGAGTGCAGACATGGTGGCACTCAACTGTAATCCCAGCACTAGGGAGGCAGAAATCAGGAGGATCACTACGAGTCTGGGCTGTGTAGTGAGACCATGCAAAAAAAGGAAAAAAGAATCAAAAAACCCGCCACAAAACTATAGGTCATTGGGAAGCTCTTGGGTTCAATCTCCAGTATCAATAATAATGATAAATAATAATAAAAATTGTAAATTGTGTATATTATATTCTAGAATATATTATAATATACAAAATTTGTCATTATTTGTAGTATTGTTAAAATCTTATGTCTTTACCAACTTTTTGTCTAATTGTTATTTCAGTTTTGGAAAGTAGATATCAGAAGTTCCAATATAATTATGGTGTTTCTTATTTCTCTACGGTTTTTTATCAACTGTTTGTTATATATATTTTAACATTCTGCTATTACATCTGTAAACACTTGGGAAACTTAGGTCTTCTTGACGAGATAACTTTTATCAATATGTAAAAATCCTGTTTAATATTTTAGCACCTTCTTTGACTGATAAACATATATCGTAAATAACTCAGTGGATTA